TTTTTACAATTATATATTAATAATCGCCATATATTTTTAATTATTTAAATATTTTTTCAACAGCACACAATCAAATTATTTTTTACAAAATTAACCAAATTGTGTAAAGTAAAAAATTAAATTGGATCATGCCGACTGGTGACGAAGTCCTCAATGCTCTTCAAGAGTTAGAAGTTCCATCTCCACCCGAAGATATAGCCAAATACTTAAAAAGCCATGGATATTCACGTATGTCATTCAAAAAGTTACTTTTGGAGGTGAAAGAGGCATGCGAAATTGGGGCAATGCATGGCTTCATTGAGGAATGTCGGGGACAGTATTTCAGCATTAAGCAAACTGCCGAATTGCTGGATTGTTTTGATACACAAATGATGTTACAGGATACTGCTGGTGTGCAGGAGAAAAGTCCACATTCGTCTGATATTACAATCAACAGTATTTCTGAAATACCGGCGTTTAGCAAGGCTGCCGCAATTCGAAAGAAACATGCGGCTACGAAACCATCAGTTGATCAACTTTTTGACTCATCAACAGAGATGTACAGCTTTGTTGATCCTACACCATCCGTTATAAGCGTTCCAAAGCGTGTACGAAGAAAAGTAAAGAAAAAACCTAAAAACAAGGCACGAAAAAGGCGCAAAACTGTACAAGTCGAACCCAGTGTGACAACAGGCTCAATCGAGTTAGCTGATGATGATGTTGCTGTCAGTGATGAATCAATACCTTTATCTGAGCCGTATGTTATGCCAGCAGAAACTAAACGCCGGTATTTAAACATCATAAAATCTTTAAAAAGCAAATCTACGCAACTACGGCTAAAAAAAGCTTTATTTGGTTCAACAGATAATGAATCAGAAGTTGATTATATTCCAGTGGTCACCGAGCGTAAAGCTAAGCCTAAGACAAAGCGTAATAAGAAGAAACGTGGTAAAAAAATTCACTCTTTTAAATATAAATCAGTAGGACACAAAGCACCTCTTAATAAGAAGAGGAACTTAAAGCCTAAAAAATCTACACGGAATTATAATCCTAATACAGAATCTGAATCACAATGTGAATGTAAGAGTGATGTTAATTCACCGGTTGCCGTACGTAAGACAAAAACTTATTCACTTAAATCAGTGAAATCTGTTCCTGCAAGGAAGATAACACGTGTCGCCAGTAAACTCATTGCAAAACAACCATCAGCGGATAATTTTGAAGAACCATGTACATCAAGTGCAATAGCGCAGACTACCATTGGGGAATCTGAAAGCAAGCTAAAGATGGTTCTCCGCTCAGGCCGTGAGTATTGATACCCCAGTCTTCAATACTTCCAGTTCATAGATAAATTAATGCTCGGACGAAATGACTTTGACTGACTCAAGACGGTGATATTTTTGGGTAAAAGTGCATATACTTGTAATCTCATAAATTAAGCAGTGTAATTATTTTTAACACTATTTTCATAAATTACTTGTATTTATTTTGTTATAACAAACTAAATTTTTATGTTTTGGAAATTTTAAATGCCTTTACCAATAAGTGTTTCCATAAATTATTTGTATTTATTTTGTTATAACAAAATTAACTTTTATATTTTGAAATTTTAAAAAAGCTGTGCTAATAAAATTATATATATATGTAAAAATTATATATTTTTATATATATATATGTATATATAAAAATTATATATTTTTACATATATAAAATGTTAACCTTTACCTTTCGTGCTATTAATTTTTTATAGACTAAACTTTATATTTATTTCAAATACCTCATATTTATGTTTCAATTACTCGTAATAAAAGATATATATAAATATATAAAATTGTAAGTACCAAACTTTTGACCAAAGAGAAATTTGTTCAATAAAGTTGCTAATAAGGATTTCATGTCTATAACCGGCACACAATCACCTAATTGTGGGTCTAATCTTGACATCTGAGAACACCAACAACATAGCAATAATTTATTATCATAAATCCTAATAGATTTGCAAATGGTGGTGAAGATTGTCTTTAATGAAAGTTAATCGGATATATTAAAAGTTTTCAGTATTATGTCGATAATGTATGTAGCCAAACTTCCTACACGGAAATCTGAATATAAGTTCGCCGACTTGATTTACCTAAGCACTCTGATTTGATCTTCAGAGTACTAACTTATCTATAATGAAGTATGGAAAGAACATAATACATTAATAAAACCTTAATTTAATTGAAATGTATCAACCCTTTGCTAACCATTCTTTTGAAAACTGGCGAAAATATATTCAACAGCAGTGACATTTATCTTGAAAGTATTGGTATTATATTTTCTGCCTCATAAATTTTAAATAATATAAAATTTAATTAAATGTATGTAAAAGAAATTGTGATTACATTGATCATTCTCTCTATACATTACTTCCAGTGACAATTAAGAATATTATATTTAATAGCGAAAATCGTTCTCAAGAGCGATAGATATTTTTTTTAATTCTTCTGCTTTGATTTTTTAAGTGAATATTGGTGTCTTTTAATAATTAATTCCTACTTTAATATCATAAATACGAATAAGCTACTACTATTCCCAAACTTGTAGGCATCAGTTCTGTCAAAGATTGCATTTAAATTAATGACGTCATTTGAATGGATTGTAACCAATCATTGTTTGATATTAATATATCCGCTGTATTGGATAAGGAAATAGAATACGATTTGGCAAGGTAAGGACTGTTAACCAGTAACACTGCAGAATACTGCAAGTATAATATAATAGATATTTTATATCATAAACCAAAACTAACTATTACTTGTTGAAGATTTTCTAATATCAGCCGCGGACAGACGCCTCTAGTATAATAATCTCTTCCTAATCACTCATTCACTTCATCTTTAATATAATATATCTTCTATTTTTATTTTTTTACTGCATATATTTATCTTCGGTTTCATACATCAGCAATATTTCTCTTTAGGTGCTTCAAATAAATCAATCAGTTTCTTAATGTTAATCAGTATTCACAAAAACAATGGCGTTGCCAACTCAAAAAAGTTTGTTACGTTTTTGACTAATTGTAGCAGTATGGCAACTTTTTTTCATAGTTCGATTTGAACCCATTAGCCACGAATCATCTAAGTATTTTTGCCTTGGTCTTATCACTGCTGACACTGGAATACTTCGCCGTTTTTGGAGCATGTAAGATAGCAACAAATGCCCTGTGAACAACTCTCTGAACGGCCCCGTGAACAGCTCTGTAAGTAGTTCTGTAAGCAGCCCTGTGAACAGCCTTGTAAGCAGCTCTGTGAACAGCTCTGTAAGCAGCCTTGTGATCAGCTTTGTAAGCAGCCCTGTCAACAACCCTGTAAACATCCCTGTGAACATCCCTGTGAACAGCCCTGTAAGTAGCCTTGTGAACAGCTCTGTAAGCAGCCTTGTGATCAGCTCTGTAAGCAACCCTCTGAACAGTCCTGTAAGCAACCCGAACAACCCTTTAAGCACCCACGGTAACAGCCCTGTAAGCAGCCCTGTGAACAGTCGTGTAAGCAGTCCTATGAGTAGCTCTATAATCAACCCTGTGAACAACTCTGTATACAGCCCAGTGAATAACTTTATGAATAGTTCTGTGAAAAATCACAGGTTTTTGACAAGTTTTTGTTCTTAATGTTTATTATATGCCCTGCATATGAACCTGACTAACTTGAAATTCATGTAGGTGTGTCTGCCTTTACACTATTTGTTTGTCCAAATATGCACTGGTTCTGTATTTATTGAGGTCTGTGAATTTATCGAAATGTCTAAGAAATGTCTGAGTAAGTCTTCTAATGTAAATCCTTTATTAACCTTTATTAACCAAATCCTTTATTAAACCCTTTATTATTATTTTGTTACCATTCATGTACGTACAACCGGGCACCTAGAAGATTCGTACTTTTCTTTGCGCCACTGGGTCACTTATTCCATTTCTGCACTCTACAACTATATTTTTCTTAAATTGGACATAATGTTAAGTAAGTCAAATTTTTTCCTTAATTTAATTTAGCTCTACTAAATATCACATTATATAATACGATAATAATATAATAATTATAAAATAATGATAAATATCAGAATGTATAAATATTATTTAATAAAATATTTGTAAATTACATTATGCCTTAAAATCAGAAACCTAATTGCAATATTTTTATCTTAATGGCCTAAAGTCTCACTATGCCAACAAAATCACAAGTAGGCACGAATCGAAAAGGATATTTCAGTACATTTTTGAATGTTGCCATATTCACAATAAAAATAAATAAAAATACAAACGAATGCACACATACATACGTGCACAGAAATATTCTTCTTCGCATATACATATGTGAATGTGTTCATTATTATGAGCAATCAAAATAATAACGGCAAACGAGGATCTACAATAAAAATAATTGCCAGGAACCTTGGTGCAATCCTTTGCCGCACAATTTTTGTGGCATAATACGCGTTCATTTGTATCCTTTTTTTTTACTCTTTGTTATTTTATTTGTTTTGATTTTTTCTGCCATTTTATTTATATTTTTTTTATTTTTGTATATATTTTTATTAACATCCTCATTTAATTTTTTTTTTTGTTTTTTGTTTTCTGATACCCGCACATTTTGGCACACTTTTTTTTTGTTGTTGAGCCACAATTTTCCCCCATTTTGCTGTCATTTTTCTTTATTTATGAAAGCTTATTTG